CTCAGTCAGTGTCCTTGACCCTCTGCGTCACACACTTTGAAGCCACAAGGTTGCTTCTTCCTCACTCCTCTGTTGCATTTTTCAAATGTCATGGAAGGAAGGGTTGAAGGAGAATTTGAGGGTGCAGTACCCTTTAAATGAAAAATAAACTCATCTAGGAAAATGGTTGGCAAATGTGCATTTATTGCATTTATTCCTAATACATTCCTAACCGCATGCTTAAGGCTTTAATGTTTTGGTCATAGCTGAATGTATCAAAGACAATCACAACCTCACGAGTCTGCTTTGATAATAAACGACACTGGAATAGTCAAACTATTACTAAAAAGTAGATGAGCTGCTGGGAGAGAACAATGTGTGTGAGGTGTTTAGATAAAAGTTGATTTTGCACATGTGTTGGTAATTACCAGTGATGGGGGTGTTGGTGTATGTCAGTGGTTCACTAACTGCACCTGTGTCTGTTCGGGATAAGTTGGTTTAGCACAGTCGGTCAGGAGCTGGAAAGACTAACTGTGGCCTGTTTCGGAAGTCTTCATGACCTCTGATCAAGAGAGAAAGGTTGCGAGTTTCTTGTTGTAGCATAGGTTTATGTTGTTGTAGAACAGTCACGTTGACCACAGTTTATCTGCTGGTGGTTTAATGTGTAATCTGATAGACAACCTGCTAATGACTGATGTAACAGTGTGAGGAAGAAACTTGGGATTCTGAGAACTGTTGTCAGTTGTTGTCATGAAACCGGTTTCTGTGCCTGTTTTTCTCAGCCTGCTGATCATAAAACTTTCTCATATCTTTCGCCGAGGAAGAGGAAGAATATAATACAGCTTTAGAAAAGTGCAGTTAACTGTTATTGTAGAACAGTCATGGTGATCACAGCTTACCTGCTGGTGGTTTAACGTGTGCTCTGATAAGCTACCTGCTAATGACTGATATAATAATGTGAGGAAGAAACTTGAGTTTCCAAGTATTAAAAACATGAATGTAGAAAATGCAGTGTTTCTTGTTCACTTTAGGGTTTGCAGCGTTGGGATTCTGAGAACTGTTGTCAGTTGTTGTCATGAAACCGGTTTCTGTGCCTGTTTTTCTCAGCCTGCTGATCATAAAACTTCCTCATATCTTCGCAGATGAAGAGGAAGAGGAGAGCAAACTGAACTCATTGGAATATAATACAGCTTTAGAAAAGTGCAGTTAACTGTGTAATTGTCCTTTTCCTTTCCTTTCAGCATTTGAACATCTTTAATGTTGGTTTGACTCACAACATGCTTAGTGTGGGTTATCCTTGTGCCATGACCACCCCTTCAAATCTCACAATGTTTATCTTATTAATTTCTTCTGACATCTGATGAAGAGAGAAACGTAAGATTATTTTTGTAGATGATGAAGAAATAGGTTTATATTGTTGTAGAACAGTCATGGTGATCACAGCTTATCTGCTGGTGGTTTAATGTGTGCTCTGATAGGCTACCTCTTAGCCCACTTAGTGTCCTTGGAGACCCCCTCGTGCCGCTCTGTTGCGGAGAACGCCTGGCTGGAGATTTCCCATTGCAGACTCACTTCTCCATCCGCCCTGTTTACCTGCCTTGCCTGGCCTCACACTGACCTGCCACCCCCACACCGGCAGGAACCTAAACCCCCACCATCAAGTCTATTTCACCATATCTTGTGTTAATAAACTGTGTGTAAAAGAAACAGGGAAGTAGAGTCTGATACAAACAGGGGAAGCCTGGCTTCCCTTGGCTTCTGGGAGAAAAGGCCACTGCATCCAAGGTCTGTGTTACAGGGGCACTGGCCCCTGTTGGCTCCCCCCCAAAACCTCCTCAGTCAATGGGTCCTGATACCACTGGTGAAATGCTGATAATGTTCTTTTTTATAACGGCCACATCTAACTCCGTGGCGGCCAACAAAGCCAAGGAGGTTTGTTGGCATCACATTGAGTAAAGTTCAGTCCATAACTTTCTATTTTATGGACTGAACTTTTATGTGCAATATGATTAAGATATAAAGGTACAACTGCACATAAGGTCCATTGTAAACAAAATGGAGTCAGCAGAGAGGGGTAAAAATATGAATTTCCAATATTCTCTGACATTATAGTCACACATTTATGAGAGAAACAAGGCTGCAACATCGCACACACACCTGCTGTTTATTATGCATGCAGTGGAAGCTTATAGCCTATTTGTTTTTTTTTTGTTTTTTAAACCTGTCCTGGTATAGAGAATGATGACCTGGATACCATATTGTGACAGACAGATTTTACTTTAACAAGAGAGTATTAATATACTCCTTTGTCTGTTTAATTATTTATTTAATTATGTATTGATTTGTCACCGGGCCGGACAGGGGGGCAGACACGGGCATGGGGGGGCACAAACAGACAGCACAGAGAAAGGACAAGACCTGTAAGAGAAGGGGGAAAAAGGGGGATGGAGGGTGGGGACTGGATAATCCAGTCAGATGTAAGCTTAGAGGCGTCAGACTACTGGAAATATGTACTGGCAAAGTTCAACAAGGAGTTTGCTAAAGCATATAATGCAGAGTCTGCTGATATTCCTGAAACTTGGGGAAAAAATCACACATAAGTGAGCCTCAAAGAGTCGTTTAACATAATTTAGAAATAAATTAAATGCTTCCAGTTTGATTAAATCTGACTTTGAATTTATAAATTTTGTGACTGATGAAGTCATCATATTGTCACTGAGAAGATCAGTTAATTAATTAAAGCAGCAAAGTGACATTTTTTTTCTTTTGTCACATATGATCTGATATTGCTTTTGTGTAGTATCTGTCTTATATTTACATTACATTTTTAAAAAGTCAATATGTGGTTATCTATATCTATATATATATATATATATATATATATCTGACTGTTTATTTGGAATTCACAATCAGTTTTTGTTTCTGTGAAGTATTTAATGCGAAAAATTGTATGAAAAGAATTCATAGATCGATGTTTGAGTGTCACTGTCTCTGTGTGTTTGCCATTGTGGGGTGTTAATCATGTGCTTCCATGCACCACCGACCTGACACAGGATCTGACCTCAGTGATATGAAGTCAACACAGCCTTCATACCCACAATGCAACACAGTGTGAAGAAGGAATAAAAGTCAGACCACATGTGTGATCTCATTTATCTAAGAGGATATGAGGCATCTTATGGTATCAAAGCCCTCATGTCTGTCGCACATGTGATTAAGTGGCTACATGTAAACACTGCTACATGTGAGGTGAGCTAACATTTAAGTGACTGCACTTCGTTTAGTGTCTCAGTTTAGAAGTCCTGACCATGAAACACTTTCCTACACCACCATTACATTAGTCAGCTGGCCACAGTGTCAGTATACCCCTGAATTGTTTCCATAATTCCAGATTCATCAGGAGTATAGTTGGAAGATATTTTAATATAAAAGTTTGCTAAATCTTCAAAAAAAGGAAAAATTCAAGCTAGCTAATTCTTCTACCTTAACCCCAGAACAAAGAATCCATCATGTGAATCTCCCGTTCCACCACATCTCAAAGATTCAGTGAACTCATTCTCATGTTCAAGAAACCAGTTTGAGATGATTTGAGTTTTGTGACATGGTGCATTATCCTGCGGGAAGTAGCCATCAGAAGATGAGTACACTGTGGTCATAAAGGGATGGACATGGTCAGCAACAATACTGTCACATTTAAACAATGCTCAATTGGTACTAAGGGGTCCAAAGTGTGCCAAGAATATATCCTCCACACCATTACACCACCACCAGCAGCCTGAACTGTTGATACAAAGCAGGATGGATCCATGCTTTCATGTTGTTATTCCAAATTCTGACCCTACCATTCAGCAGCTTAAGGTTGTAAGGAAGGGCCCCTGTGCAGGATTTTATAACAGGCCATTGTGCACGGTTATGAAGCGCACACACGCACACACACGCACACACACGCACACACACGCACAGCGTTCTTGTCTAGAAGGGAACTATTTCGGCAAATGTGTGTGCCTTCCTCATTTTGCACGCTTTAACAACACATTTTAGATGCAGTAAATGGCAAACCTACTAAATGTCATGCTCCTAAAATCAGTTTCTTGTCCACATTAACATATTAAATTGAACAGTTCTCTTTGTGTTGGTCTCTCTCCAACACGCACCTGGCCGCAGCAGCTGAAAGTAGCCCACCAGTCATGTGATGAATTTTACAGTCGGAATGTGTTACCTAGACTATTGTATTTGCAAATTACAGAAGTCAAAGAGAGAAAGTTTTCAGAATCATGGACAGCGCTGTCACTGTCAAGAGATGATGGTAAAAAAGACTGAAATGCGACCTACTTAACAACAACACCATGGCCGGGCTACAGCACACAGTTTAATACCCACAAGCACATAGGCCTACACACCATAAAACAGGTGCTTGGCGGCGACCTAACCTCGAAATGTTAACATCCTTTCAAACAGGGGTGTGGGAGCCCATAACATTCACTATATCCCTTGGGGGGAAAAGCACTTGTACTCGCCAATTTAAAAGGCATCCGACGAGCTTGCATAGAGCAAAATTCAAAACATTTTTATTTGGGAGCTTTGTGACTCTCTCCACCTGTTCTTTTCACTTCTGTCACTTCCTGCAACAACGTTTATGTTTGAATGGCATGACTGCTAGCTTGCAGGTGTGCTCTGCTAGGCTGCTTGTCGTATTTTGCGTTTCACCTAGCTTTCAACAGAGTCCTGTCATCTTGTCACGTGATGAAATAGAAACTTAAGATTTGGAAACAATACACACTCAAAAAACTTTAAGTATTATTTCCATCTAATTTTATTACATACGTTCAATGTAAAGGGTCACATGTAAGGCAATTCTATTATGTTTAATCAGTTTAAATAAATAACATAACTTGATTTGATTGAATTAAATTCATGTAAACTTCTACATAAACCTTATGTGTTTATATATGTATTATACTTACACATTTCAATTTAGTAATTCTATTTCCTGTAATAAATCAGAAAGCAACACATACAAGAACTGTTCTGGAAATTTTATTGGCATATCTATTATAAGTCATTACAACAATGGTAGTCCAATAGTAATTTTAACATTACAGCAGCAAGACCTGCTATTGCAAAAAAACAACGACCAAGGGCACAAGGTTTTCCAGTGTATAATAAACTATAAAGGCCAAAAAATAAAGAAAAGAAATTATTTCCACTGGAATAAGTATTTCTACTATGGTAACTTAAAATACATTTTAAAATAATCTTAAAAAAACATAGATTGCCATTCAAAAGACTCTTTTATCAAATACTGATAGTGATGATAACATAGAAGTGTCAAATGAAAAGGGCAAAAGGCCTTAATACCTGCAGGAAAAAAGGTTCTTTCTATCTAGTATAACAGTATGCAATCTCAGTGCAAAAATTACACTCCAACAGCAAAATAAGCAAGTTAACACAAAGTGGCTATAGAAGATGCCAGAAATAATCAGAACAATAAGCTGTTCTGTTGTTTGTGTTTTTAAACCACGTGAACAATGGTAAAGTCCATTAAGCCAAAATGTGGCTAGCCAAACTTTCCAGCATTGCACTTAAGAGCTCACTGAAGCTTCTTAATTTTAATGTTTCCACCTTTGGGGACAGTTTGTAGCCATCCAAGTGCATTAAAACCTTCTGGAAGAACTCAAATTTACATTTGTGGATAGTTCAGGTTGAGAGTGTAGATCAGGCCAAACAGCATGTCACAACCAAAGGAAATACTTCCTAGTTCACTTAGCAGTTCCACACCCTCGACCACCACTCCAACATCCGCTGGCTTGTCTTCTACTTCTGCAAATCATGTTTAGCCCCATGGTGGTCTGTATGGTCTCTCTCTTACCTTCTTCACTGTTGACATCCTAATGGTGAAACATAAATTTACCATTTTAAAATAAAGAAAGCATTGCATGTTTAACACTGAGAGTTCACAATCAATTTTGATTACTAACCAAGTACTCCTTGATGAGAATGTTGCTGTCCTCACTGAGGTAAACACACAGGCTTCTGAGGACACAGTCCCTCTTGAGCGCAATGTATTCTAGGGAAAAACTGCAGGGGGAAAAAGTTTTTAACCATTACTGTAGCTTCAGATTAGAACTTCTGCAAAAATTCTTAACATTGTTAACAATGACAATTCTTAAAATCAGTTTCAATTCAATCCAAATTAGCTTTATTGGCATGAATGTAATAACAACATTGCCAAAGCATCATATATACACACAACATAAGAACAATCAGCCCCAGTTTGCACTTTGATATTAAAGAGGGTTTTTTTGCAAATTCTTGTCAAAAAAGCATAATTATATTGGCCATGATTTCATGTGTAAAAGAAACAGAAGGGTTAAACATCCAAGGGGTGTGAATACTTTTTTAAAAATGTTCTCAATCTTTTATTTAAAAAAGAATTAAAATATTATCCAGAACAGAAAAAAATATCTTTGTATTTTCTCTACCCTCCATTGAATAAAACAAAAACAATGTAAAGGTATTCATCCACACAGTGGATGGGATTATTTGTGTAGCACTGTGTCAGTTAGTGACATTATATTTTACACCCTGCTAGGATTAAACCTCTGTATTGTCCTAGTCGATCAGGATAACAGTTGCATTTCTTCCAGAAACTCAGTATCATGGCTCTGTCCAAGTGCTCCACATTGCCACACTACAAACTGTATGCTGCCTGACTGAACTCTCTGTTACTCTAGTCTGGAAGATCAGCCGTGTGTGGTGAATGGAAATACAATAGTCTGGATGTTGTCCACAGTCCTCAGATTCTGGCCATCATGGGCCTCTAAATAGTACAGGCCATACACTCTAAAAACTAATTCAGGGCACCTTTAGTCATTACTTACATATATATTGTTATGAAATAAAAAATCAAGTTCTGAGATACTTACTTTTTACTAGCTTGGATGACACACAAATTATGCCTATTGACTCAATATACTATCATGACTTGTGAGAGTTTAACATTTTCAGTTAATCAAAAAATAATTAAATTTTAAGTTCTGTTAATGTAAAATACAATTTGATGACATGTAAACAGCTCACAGTTTCCCTCTCCTTCATGTGCGGGCATGTTCAAGGCCAGACAAGTGACCACAGGGCCACAGCTGGAACTCATTAAATTGTAACATGGTGAATGGTAAGTAATTTTATGCTTAATTACACATATTTGCATTCGCTCAGGATTCTGTTGGTGATAGCCTACTGTAACCGAATACCGAAATCTGGAAGTCCTTACTCTGAAATTTGAGCAGTGTTAGTACAGTCTGTGTGCCGAGGTAAAGTTAGCTAGTAGCTGTAGCCTGTCACCGATTTGAGTAGGCTAAAATGCAGTAGTAATAGGTGGCCAGGTAGCCAGGGAAAACGTCTTGGCAAGCTAACTTAATATGGGCTTACCCATTAGCCACCGCTCCGGTTAGCATGTAGGCTAGCTATGTTTATAAACTAAAAGTAGCTATGTTAGCCAGTTAGCCACTTGCAGAGATCAACTTAATTATTAAGTTCATGTTACTTAGAAATGTGTTTTATTGTGGCATAAAAGGTAATTCACCATTCTCAAAACATTGCTTTAAATTAATGTAATTCTGCCAGCAGTCTTAACTTAACAATTCTAGTGGAAAACGTTAAGGTATTTTTTTTTGTTGGTCTAATGTTTTATTTTTTAGAGTGTAGTACGGCTGTACTGTCTATATGCCCAGAATGGGCTGCAGATCACAAACATACCTTTCTAAATCAGAAACTGATGTAGCTAACGAAACAGTGCTGATGTTTTGCATTTATCCGCTGAAGATGCCTTCACCTCATTGAAATGAGTCTGCAGGTAGTGTCTGTGAACAGTGGAGAGGGAGACTACAAATCTGCATAGCTGCTTCATTGGCAGTGCTCTGTAAAAGCCCACCAGAAGGCAGAAGTCGAAGTTGAAAAGCTACATTAATTTACATATCTCATTAAAACACAATTGGTGCAGTAAGATAAATAAAATGGCCCACCTTTCATACAGCAGTTTTCATTCATTCCCACTCTCATTTAACCATAATTTTTTCCCGAAAATTCTGAACTCTCTCTACAAGAACGTTTGAATGACTTAAATCTGTTGAGGTTAAACTTGCTGTCAGGTGAGACTGAATCACATGCACAGCTGCTAAATCAAGACTAGAAAAATCTAATACAGTTTAAAACTCAATTAAAGAATTACAAAAACCAAGTTACACAACAGGTACCATTTGCAGGCGTGAAAAATATGGAATGGTTTATGATGGATCACTCATTATTCTCTACTGGACAATGTGTTTTCCTGAGGTGGAAAATAAAGAGGAACCAGGCCTATGTAAGTAAAGTATAATGGAGAATAAACAGAGTTTTAATTTCCGAGAAACCACATCCTCATTTGTAAACCAAAAGTGAAACTGGTTTCAACCAGCAGAATAAAAGACGGGTCTGCACTGCAGGACTTCATTGGTTTGCGGGGAAGTCATCTACAGAACAAATCATTGAGCTTACCAATGTATACAGCACAGAGAAGAGCTCCTGGATGCAAGAATGCAAATTTGACATGGGCACATCTTCTTCAAAAGGTAGGTTTCTATAGCCTCTGCATTTGTCAGTGTTTTTTTTCTGTTAGGCTTTGTGCCTGATAGGAGGACATTAAAACCTTGGTAGGTAAATCAGTATTTGGAAATCCGATTATGAATGTAATGTGATGTAGGGCCTTCAGGGCTTTCACCGTAAACTCTGATTCAAACTGTTTTTGTCATATATCAGATGTAGGCCTATGTATGGGATTGTTCCCTAGGGAGAAATAGTCTTTTTGGCCCCCATGGCATCACATAATTTACAGCCTGTAATTATGACACTATCGCCTGCAAAGCAAAACTGGAGTTTAGCTCAATTATGTGTATTTGCCGACACATAAAATTATAGTTTTATTAAAGCTCTTTTTTTGTATCTTGGAGATGGCCATACTTAGGGTAACATATTATAAAGTAAACTAAATACATACAGTTGACAAATTAATGTAAATTTATCAAATGTAATTTTTAGGAGGACAAAGGCATTTTCCCCAGCTACTGGGGTAAGACGTATCTTAAAGGCTATGCTTAAGTTAATATATTATAAAGTAGAATAACTAGCTAAAGTTGACATTAATTTAGATCTAATCAAATGAATTTTAGGGAAAAGGCATTTTCCACTCGGGTAAGATGCCCTCCCCTATGGTGTGAAATCACTTCAAGAGGTGCAAATTACAGATAAAATAAACTAGCATTTTACTACTTTAACTAAAAACTATACAAATCTTTCTCTCTAAAAAATTGCATAACTTATCTTAAGGCTCCTCTTAATGTAAAGTGGAAGTGGGGGTCTTTTTACAAAGTTACATCTGGAGTTGCCAAAGTCATACATTTCCAAATCCTACAGACAGACAGTTGATGGTTGTGATTGGAAAAATGATGCAGTCAACTCAGCTGCATGTTTTTTTTTTTAAACTTTGTGGAATATTTAAAGCTCTTAGGGAATAAAACCTTATGCGCTTGTCTCTAATTGCTTTCAGTGAGAAGCTGTTTGAATAATCTCAAGCAAGTGGAGGGTGATCGAGAGTGAATCCATGGAGGTAAACTGCTAGTTCCAAGAGATACATAAAATAAAAATAATGTCCAATAAGGTAATATATATGGCATAATGAATTTACCACATTAAATTGTATTGTTCTTATATATCAAGGACATCAGTGAAGATTCATTTGTTGAACTGTACTGTGAGGAATCAGAGGACACTCCATCAACACCATGGCCTAGCAGCTGTCAAGATGCAAGTGATAAAGGTCAGCATTATGCAATCTATTGTTCAGCAGAACTGGACTAAATGTTGTGCAGTATGTGAGTAGCTTTAAGTAAAATCATTATTATCATTATCAGCGTTGTAATTTTTGTTATTTCTACAGTGCCCTGCCCTGCTTTAAATTCAGCAGTCTATCATGTCAGCAGTGAGCCTGTTTCTCTGCATTTGGACACTCCTGCTGGTGAAGTAGAGAAGTACATTGTGACCACTTGCTGGGAGGATTATGAAGAGCGAAAGGAAAAAACAACATCTGCATTCACAAGTGAGTAAACAAAAAACATAGCTAGGACTATGGTGGCGATGGCGCAGTGAATAAGATGCATGCCTTTGGTGTGGGAGACCCGTCCACGTCCACCATTGTGTCCCTGAGCAAGACACATAACTCCTGGTTGCTCCAGAGGCGTGCGACCTCTGACATATATAGCGATTGTATTTCGCTTTGGATAAAAGCGTCAGCTAAATTAATAAATGTAAATAAACGAGGCAATAGGCTAAGTCGCAAAGTCCTTCCCAAAAATCATTATTATGTAAAAGTGGAATAATATGGATAAATACAAACCTCAATGTCACTCACAAACAGTGGGGATCAGTCTCTCTTCCAATGCTGTGCTGCGCGTCGCGTACAAAAAGTTCAAAACAATTCAACTTCAGCGGCGGCGGCGTGTGTTTGAGGCGAGCAGGTCCGCGACAGTTTCAGGGAACGCATCCCTGTTGTCGCTAAGGGCCTTTCTCATTTACCAAATTATACACCTCCTCGACTCCTCGGGTCGAATTTTAGTCCCGCCCACCCGAGATGCGAGCTCGAAGAGTCAAGGAGGAGACGCGAGGAGAGAGGAGTCGAGGAAACGGGCATTTAACGAAATGAGATGTCCTTTCCTCGTCATTTTAAAGCGACGTCCATTAAATATGACCTGTTGCACCGCTGCATCATCTGTCCACTGTTAGAGCTGTGATCGCTGTCAGAGCTGCAGACCAGCATTTGGCACTAAAGGCTACAGATTATTTCTTCACAATCCAGAAACATGTCTGTTAACATTATAGCCTAACACGTAGAAAGGTTCCAATAAACATTATAGCATCTGTTGAAAAAAGCCTAATCATTCACTAGGCTACACGCCTACCACTTTTTTTTGCCTGTAAGGAGATGTTTCAGCCTTCAGCTTGATGAGGTGATAGTTTCATCATCAGTCCCTTTACAAAATGACACAGTAACATTAAACTCATATAGCCCCAATTAAAACTGTCATCACAGGACTCTACTGTTGGAATGACTTGTGCAGACTACATGGGCACTATTATTAAAACATGAAACACAGCAGATCAGTGCTGAACGCTGTGGTTGATATTACAGCCGAATAATTTGACTTAAGCAGCTCTTTGCACTGTTTTGTCACGATTATAGCATTTCATGTGAGGCGTGGATCAGCTCGGGCATTAACGGAATACTCATATAGGCGCATGCGCAAAGAATGCTCATTTTTTATTATTAATTTTGTTACTGTTGCTCGTGTGTAAATACGCACAGTGTCACTGGGGAGACGCTTCATCCAGTGCTATTTAATGTTAATTTTTACTATCCTGATATCAAAGTGAAATGACATTAAGGAATGCGGTTAGAACAGTGTTTTATTAGGCGCTACACAAACAGTGAAGGGCAGAAAGTTTGATCGCGCATTTGATTATTTTTAATAGGCTTAACTGATACAAGGTATGAATACAACAGGAACACTGCAGCGTCCTGCTCCGGCCATGGGTTGAATACACCGATGTATCCTTGCTTAAAGCTCCTTTAGCAAGCCTCTTCGATCCTCGATCCTCGATTCTCGACCCTCGATGTGCATTTTAATAATCGAGATGTCCTTCAAGATGCAGGATCGAGGAGTTGAGGAGACAGAAATTTGGGAAATGAGAAAGGCCAACACTCTTACCACTTCACCTCACTCTAACAGGGAAACTTGCTACTGATATTTAAGCTGCACCCTGATAAAACAAAAATGTTTCTGCTGATACCTGTTCAGAAAAAAAAACAAGAAAACTGGACTCTGATGGTAACTTGTTTTAACAAGCTAGATAAAAAGGTAATGCTCTGGCAGTGGCAAATAGCTTTGGTTTCATATTTGATTTAATCACATTAATGTTTAGGCTAAGTTGAGATTTAGGCTACAAGAAATATTTTATTACTACTATGTAAAGGGGATACTGCTGGTAAAAAGCACCTTATTTGTTTAAAGTGTTCGCAAACCACCTTATTGCACTTTTATGTATACAGTAGTACATTTAAATTAAAAGTGCGAAATACACTACTACGACAAACTTTATCAAAGAAAGAGCAGCAAGATTGAGGGTCAAAAGTATAATCATGAGATTGTTTTCTCGTGAGTAGTAAGAATGTTGTTAACTACTGAAGAAATCTTTACTACATTTTACGATGCATTTTTTCTCTAAATTCAATTCATTTTGCCGTTGATCTGACAAATGCCCATTTTGCTTTTTCAATATAAACATATTCAGCTATTCGTGTAAAGAATGCAATTTCATTTTATATTCATTATTAGGAACTGGAATGTTTTTATTTATATCTTTAAATATAATTTTATCACTTGAAAATTGAGAGAAACAAGAAACAAAAAAATGTAACGTAAGCCTAAAACACTAAAAACAAAACACAAATACATTTACCTTATAGGGAAGGACTTGAAAGAGTGTGACCTTTGGAAGGAACTGAGGATGCCATATAGGAAAATTAAGCAAAGATTTTAGATTATTCTCCAACATTATGGAGGAAATTTACCTTTCTGATGACCTGACTTAATGAGCAGTTCCCCCTAATAAAAATATTTGAAAACACACATTTGGAAGAACAGACTTGACAGAATACATTTTCGTAAGTGAGCTGATGGTACAGTGAATAAGAAACATGCCTTTGGTGTGAGAGACCCGGGTTGAATTCCCCACAGCTTATTGATTGACAGTAAAGAAAACCTACCACAGATAGCTGGGAGATAATGGATAATGGATACACACTTTCATTAATGTCCCAGACATAGAATGTGTTTGTGATGAGAAAGTTGACAGCACATTTTACTGTGCAAACTTGGCTGGCTAAAGGGTATAGTCCATGTACACATGTAACAGCTACAGTATGTTTTCTGTCAGTAGGCTGAAGCTCCACCGGTACCCATCTACAAATGCCTCAACAGCACTGTTCCTGTGCTCCAAATTTATTTTGATGGGCAACAAGACCTCCTTCATGATTACCGCCTCAGCCGTGACTCCTTGGCGTGTCAAGATGTCAACTTACATAGATAGGAAATTATTGAATTAACACGTTTCAGGAGACATTGAAATATTTGTTGGCACCAAAACATATACAGTATGCTTATGGATCATGTCTTCACAATCCACAAAAATGTCTGAGTCAACATTAGGACAGCAACATGTAGAGACATCTCAAGGTTGCAATGAACTTTCATAGCACATTTTAACATAACAGTTACTGTATCACGCGCTAATTTATGTAACTCACTCCCACGCGTTTTTGGCAGTGTGCCTTTTCCCTGTAAACAGGTTGTCATTCTCTGTTCTTAGCTTGATGAGGGTCACAGTCTCCTCATCACTCCCTGTGTGAAATGAAAATGTACAATTGATCACAAATGTAGCCTACAGCTCCAACAGTGACATGTTTTCACAACACTGTACCTACTTTTAGAATGACATGTGCAGACTACATAATGGGCAGTTGAATACAACATGAAATCCAGCAAATTAGTGCTATATGAAGAGAATATCAGGAATAATTGTAGCAGCTAAATTGGGTATAGTTTACATTCAGCAATAAAAACATGAGCAATTGGTTATATGTCTTTAAGAAATGTGGCTAGAACAGCGCCTTACTAAAAACTAAATGACCACTTACATTTGTATAGTCCTGCTTCCGCCATGGTTAGTCAAGCCGTGTTCCAGCTGCGTGTCACGCCTCTTTTATACGTCACGGCTGCCGAAAACACTTCTGTAAAGGATATACCGGTGTATCCTCGCTTATAGCTATATGAGGTGCATTATCAGAATTGAGATGTCCTTCAATATGGCATATGGTAACACTTCGCTGCGAAGCTTTGACTGTTAGATTGACAGTTGAATCAGGCTCTGCCCATTGAAGCATTGAATTTTTGACAATTTGGGGTCAGCCCTAATATACACAGTATTGTTTGGATATTGTTATACAGTTTGTTTTCTGTAATGTTTTCTCATTACTTATTGTAAAATTTATTTTGTTGTCTTGATAAGAAAATTTATTTATTTTGACTATCCTAATTGCTCTGTACCCAAGTGTTAAGAGGATGGGCAGATTAATTACCCAAGTGACTGACCAGCATTTTATCTTTCAGGCCCTGCTGTGAGGCAACAAAATCTGTCGGGAGTGCTTTAGATTTAAGAGATAAAATTCCGAATAACTTGTTTTACATTTTGTAATAAAATATGCAAATGTTTCACTGAATGAAATTACAAATTTTTATGATTTATTGGTAGTACTTAAACCGTACCTTCGTATTTACTTAAAGGGGACCTATTATGCTTTTTCATATTTTCTACCATTTCTTTAATGTTACAATCTCAGATGTTCATATTAAACATGACCAAAGTTTCAAATGATGAGGTAAAAGTATTAAAAAGAAATCCCTGTGAGCAAAAACCTCAGATATACCCCCTGTTCCGAATGCTCTGTTTTGAACAGTTTTTTCTGCTAATGTCATTCCGAGCTGGTTTTCCAAATATTGCCAATCAGAAGAAAGTGGGCTTATGGTGGGCTGGGTCTCAAAGAAACAGAAGCATCTACAGCTTGTTTCAGACAGATGCTGAAATGAGGGCCTGCATGAAGAGCCAGTATAAGATTTTTTGAACTTTGAATCGTGCAAAGCCACCATACAGGAGTTACAGAACTACAATATAGGGCTGGAAATGTAATATAATAGGTCCCCTTTAACTTTGTATGCATGTTTTATTAAAACACCTATGATTGGTTTGAAATAACACATGTATTCATATCCACAGAGACACAACTGAAGAGCTTATTGAAGGATCTGGGGTTGGAGCACTACCACGCAGAGAAGCTGTCCCTGGGCACAGTACTTCAGATTGATGAGACGACCATTACTGAAGAACCTGCCAAGTGTAATTCAGATCTTCCATTGTACTTTCTAAAGAAACTGATGATGGTTAACGTGACAGCTAGAAATGTGAAATGTACATCAGAATGTGAATCAAACTGTGATGCTGCTTCAGGAAATGCAGGGTTAGATCTTGATGGTCTGTTTGATAGTCTACATTCAGGTGACGTGATAAACCCCCTTGACATAATCACTGCTCTCTTTCTGTGTTCTGATGGTTTTGTACGGCAGGAAATGGCAGTCAAAATGTCTATGTGTCAGTTTTCTGTGCCTCTGCTGCTTCCTAATTGTGACACAAAGCAGTGCACACTCATGCTTTGGGCCATGAGAGACATTGTTAAAAAGTACAGACCTCAGAAACTGTTAGAATCCAAGGGTTTTATTGAAGACAGGATTGTTGTCTCTGAACTTCCAATGATATCTTTTGTGAGACTGGGTGAGTGCTCATTGTCTAAGTCTGAGACCCTCAATAAGCTTCTGAGCAATTCTCAGCAGTACCATGACACCTTTATTCACCGTAACATGGAGTGTGGTGACAGTTCAAGAACAATATCCAATGGATTGGCTGAAGTTACTTGGTACCTTCCTTGTGGAAACAAAAACATG